ATGTTGCCGGTTCTTGTCAAACTGCCGGACCTTTTTGAAACCCGGTTGAAACCTGTAAACTTTTGTGAAGCTAGAAACTGGTATGAGCTTTACGCTACAGTAGAAGAAAATGCAGCTTGACACAGGCCAGGATTTGCACTTTTGAGGGATTTACTGGTCTCTACTTTATTTTTTCTCCTATTTTTGCGAGAGAATTTTCTTTTGTAGACAAAATATTTCGAAAAAATATTTACGAACTGCTTTCTGGTTCATTAGTTTGCCGTCCAACAAGTCCCTTAAAACTTCCGAAAACAGTTATTTTTGGTCTGTTTCAGATATTTTCCGGCACTGTATAAGCGCTCAGACCTTAGCAGACCACGATAACACCCGGGCCATTTGGACGTGCATACCGTAATCGACAAAAATTTCCCTATACGGTGAGCTTTCGGGGAAATAATATCCACATATCTTCAAGGAGGATATCGTTACCAAAAGAGTGGGTTAGGTCATTCAGGAGCCCGTTCATCCCTGGGTTTGGGCTGAATTGCATCGCTAAGAGTCACCGTTGTTCCTCCGTGCCTTTCTGCTGTAGATGCTGTAGGATTCCAAAACAAACAACGAAAAAAAATGCCTGAAGTTGGAGCTCATAAAACTTCATAGCTTTACAGGAGTTTTCATGTATTTACAAGTTGCAAAATGGGGCTGGCAGTGCTTAACAAATTGCCCCTCCCCCCTCGCCATATCCCCTTCTTAGACGTTCTGATCGCCTTTTTTGTTCACATTACGAGTTATCGTTTAGATTCGTACCGTTTATGTCCTGGTGACCTTATTCGATTTGAGTTCTTTTAGGAATGCAACAATCGAAATTCGTGGTAGTCGAAGTGACTACCACGACCTCCACAATGACCTTGATACAGTATCTGGTGAGTTTCGGGTGCGACGCGTACATAGCGCTGTGCTCTGTGCGACGCGCTTTACGATTCCGACGCATTGAGAACTCGAACTGATACGATGATGATTTCAGATCACCAACGGTTTCGATAAATTCGCCGTTCTGTCGGATCTCTCAGATCATCCCTCACTCAAGTACAAAGCGACCTCACCCACGAGTGGTTCACAGCAGAACAGCAATGGCAGTGAACGGCATCAAAATGCCGCGGTTAATGAAAGGAATGGCAAACCAAAAGTGTCCATCAATGAGATCGCTTCGGCTTTGTCGAGAAAATCGTCACCGTCACAATCAAAGAATGGATTCTGTGTGAGTGTGTGGTCTGTCTCTTCTCTACTCAAGCCCCCGTACGTGAAACGTCCTTCAGGCCAAAAGCCTGTCTTTGGGGGGCGACGATGACTACGACGGTGGCCGCGCGACAACAACCACCACTACGTTTGCGTCATGTGATTCAAGTTTTCAATTCCACTTTTCTCACAAGCTCCCCCTAGCACCCCCCATAGCACAGTGGCTGCTGCCAGCCAGAAATCGAGCTCAGACTTACTTGTCCATTACATAAACTGGTAATCATTAGCTATGAATGTCTGAAGAACGTGCGCCGATTGTTTTTACGTTTACGAGCAGCGCGAAGTCTTTCCAAATTCCTCGGCGACCTCGTGGCACGCTTTCTACGCAGCGGTGACATGATAATTCAATAGTAAGGGGGTCGGTAACCAAGTTGCATTCCCCATAGAAGTGGTATGAATTGGGAAGGTGATTTGACAGAACCCTCCAGCAGGATTTGACCTACACTTCTCGAAAGTTGAAAGTGGAAATGGGGTCCTTCGAAGGCATAGGGAACGATTAATTCGTACTTGCTCAAAAACCGTAGCAGGGGTGCGGACGAAAAGTCATTTTTCACTATAGCCGCTAAATCAAGCGGCTAAAGACCATCGAAAAATCTTTGTTCTTTGTGGCAGTGGACGAGTAATTTTGGACGAGTTTCTCGCTGGCATCATGTCAACAACCGCTTTGATACCGCGGGCAGTTGTAATGGGCTTGACAGGTTTTACCATGTTGGCTCGACCTGCTTGCTCCAGCTTCACAAGAGTTCATAGGTTTCACCAGAGTGAGACTTGTAAACCGGAACTAATGCAGAGACGAAAGTGTAAAATGCCCCACCCCCTCGTCACCGAAATGCACTCAATGGGCGTCTAGTTCAGCATGTTGCACCTTGGTACAACGGCAAGTGACCCGCCCAAATGCTTATGGTCCGGGATTGAAACGATCGACCCCCGCCAAGTCAAGAAAGCCATCTGCCAACGCGGATGGAAAAGTGGCTCCAGATTCGTTCGGGGTGATGATAAACACTGACTTGTACATCCATCCAGTCTTGCAACTCACGGTGTAAGCCGTATTGCATGCAGGTGAAAGTAGTCAGTGGCAGTTGACGCCGCTGAACTGCACGTGGTTCAGGGTCAAAACTGGGATCCATTCCTCTATATGTCACGGCACTTTTGAATGGGATGACCTAATAGAAGAAAACTGAATTGTGCTTCACGTGAGCCTTCTACAATTCTGGGTGGAAGTAGAGTGCGTGCTGCATCCTAAGATGGATTGTTCACTGGCGAAGCTTTACCATTTCATACCCTTATTTCGGCTTTGAGTCAAGTGTCCATTCAGGGGATGTAGTGCTGCTTGGCGCGTACGTGTTCCCAGGGTTAGCTACCAGATCCCGACCCTGAAAAGCAGACGGACTCGTCTGAGGTGATAAAACTGACTTTGCAACGGCTTGTTCCAGCAACTGCATAGGCCATTTAATCAAGAAGGAGATGACGATTCTGATTGGGAGTAATAGGCATGCTTCGTGCCAGGGATTCAGGAACCTAGGATGATTCATCCTTTCATTTCCGATTCGGTCACACCTACCTACCGCAGCACTTGTGGGATGGGAACCTAACCGCGAGAGCGCTTTACCTTACAGAGAAGAGTACGTCGCTGTGAGACCAGGTAAACACGAAGCAGGTTCCAGTCTGAGGTCGCTCACGTGGGGCTGGCCGCTGTTGTGGAAGTGGCATCCCCTGTTCAAACCCATGGCGTCTCAATAGTTTACAATCTGTGGACCTTCTACCCTACACGGGCCCTATTTGAAATATTATAGAGGAAACCTTTCGTGGGATTACCGGTAAGGCTGCCTATCAACGGAACCTTTTGAGCTGCCTAGCGTGAGTAGACTCAAGTGAAACTGAGGTGAAATCGAAGGATAAAGTCATCGCCGTTGGTCAGTTCTTTCTGGGCTAGGGGACGCATTCCACCTTCATTCAGAATCGTTGTGGCCTATTGGTGTGGCCCATGCGATGTCATGGGACCACCAGACCACGTACAAGTCAGTGTTCTTATTCCCAGACGAATCTGGTTCAGTTCACCGCCTTAGGGAGTACTTGGTTAGCGTGAGCGGGAACCCGAAACTGGACTTGAGCACGGGCCGCGCACGTTGTGAGCTTGCCTTTTGCCACTTCACCACCTCCACGTCAAGACTAAGGTTATCCATCGAAGACCCATGGTTAATTCATAAGAAACGTGGAATTGAGACTTGAGTGAATAAGGGGAAGTCCAATACCTGAAAGAATCATTGTGTACAAAGGAATTTCTACAGAAAGCATAACATTATAAGGGATAGGATCTGATTTTATTTGCTAATTTATTGTATTTCAGTCGATATCGCAACAATCTGCTCTGAAAGCACAGCTGAATGGTAGTGGAAATGCGAAAACGGCTTTGTCACGTATTCTGGAGGATCAAGGCCGTGCAGCAGCAGCCGAGCAAAAGCGTGATCAGGAGCGACGAGAACAGGAAACGACAACAGCAGGAAATTCAGCGAATCATCCTCGCTCAGGCTGCTTGCCAGCCCATGTGCGACTCGTTTACAAATGCTGTCGACACTGAAGAGAGCAACGGGTAAGTGAGCTTTCTGTTCTTGAATTTGCCATCAGGGAATTTATCATGCTAGATTTGAACCCCAAGCCCTCTCAGGCGCAGTTCGACGACGGAGGGGGCATTTCGCTTGCTCGTCGTTTCACGACATCCGGTTTACATGCCTTCTGGTAAAACCTGTGAACTCTTTTGAAAATGGAGCAAGCTAGCTGAGCCATCATGGTAAAACCTGAAAGCCCACAGATTGGCAGGCACTCAATGGGTAGCAAAAATGCAAAAACCCCTCCCCTCTTCCCCGGTGTGAGCGACAATCCAACTGAGAAATAGCTGCTATAAGAAGAAGATGTCTATCGATGGCTCAAAGATGCCTCGAGATGGCCTAGAAGTTGTCACAAGACTGCTGAGTTTGAGCAAAACCGTGACCCGAGGGTAGCGCCAAACCCCCACCTTACGCTTTCCGGGCGAGTGTGTCTGTGTTACGCCGCCAGGGCCGCTCTTTCCCCTTCAGCGTAATAAAATGGCTCGAACTTGTTTTTTTAAATTTCGTTAGTATTATGGACAAAGTTTGATGTGAGCGTTGCTGTAGTGGCAAGTGTGGACGACCCTTGACCATACTTTCGATCCAATCCCAGATCGCCTCCCACCTAGGCCAACCGAAGCTTCCATTACATCCCGATCGGTTGTTTGTTTTGATACCGATCCCAGCTTAGGGTAGAAACAGTGAGTGAATGGCAGACATGTGGTCCGTGGTCCCTGAAAGTCCTTGTATATGCTAAATCGCGCTCAAGAAGCCGCTGCCGTTTCGAGTAGAATCAGTATGCATGGCGTATCCCAAAAAGGGTTGTACCCGAAGCTTACTACCGAAAACTTTTTGAACGTTGAAGGATATGTCCAAAGCTGATCAATTTCTTCAAATGAGCAACGCCTTCTTTTCCATATTACAGTCGTGAAGGCATTTGAAAGCATGTCTGGCTCGTAATGGGTTCAAATCCGGTCTAGCTAGTGTCCTGTTTTATCCCCCAGGCAATGATCCTTCGTAATACTTTATTCTCACAGAGCCGCATATTCCCTAAGTTGGTGTCAGGGAACTGAGTTGGCGAGGTGGAGCCACTGCTTGGCCTACGGTGGGCTATGCGGTGGGCTATGCTAAGAGAATGTGATGTCTCTAACTGCCGAGCCAGCCCCTATAGTGGATGGCAAGTCTTTTGTTTTCCAATGTTCAAAAGTCTAAGCCGTGCGGCCATCCCGTTTCGGGATTCGTCAGATATACTACTTCCTTGAGCACAACTTAATGTGAAAGTTAGTCTTTGGGCACCAGGTAGCTCGAGGAGGCTAGAAAGGCTTGCCTGGTCTAGGCGGGAACTTATGCGAGATGTTATCCCTTACACTGCGCGTAGTAAGCTGTGCTTCTTGCCTCTACTTCATCACCCAAAAAACGTTCAAGGCAGTTGGCACGATAAGCCCCTAAGACGAACAGGATGAATACGCCTAGGAGGACAGAGTTCGTCGCCCCTGAGCAGACGCTGCGTAGCACATTTTCCATAGAAGATGCCCTTATAAGGCCTTATCAAGCTGCAACATACCGACCCGGACGCCCACCGCGCCCGCCCGCCCACAAATGGACGACCGTACCTGATGCTCGTATTGCTTCATTTGCTAAGTAAATATGAAGCGAAGGGATGATATGAAGCGGCTGCGGTGCTGCATGGATATATGAGTACATACAGCCGTATCTACCGTAGCGCTTATTGGCACGATGTCAACGGAAAACTTGTCCGAAATAGCTTCCTCAGCCATGAAGAGAAAGTGTTCTCTTCGCAGGTTTTTGACCATTTCACTTCATTTTTTTTCGCGATTTTACCACCCCATAGCACTCTGCTAGCATTTTAGACCGAGTATCAAATTGTCGTGATAACTGCCTTCAGACCATATTTTGTTCTTCATATCGAATGGTTTTTACAAAGGACAGTTTACTCATAGAACAGGAGGCCCTTATGCAGCACCTTTGACTCATCCATTCCTTACACTTCCTCTGCATCTCTGCATTTTTCTCCGTTCTCTGCCCTCTAATCTGTCCGAGTGTATTTGAAACGAGTTGTTGGACAAATCAGCAAGTGATTTTGCCGTAGTTCTCTTCATCATGTCACTTTCAGATCACCGGAGCTCGACGACGTTGGTGTTCTTGACTCCTCAACAGTGAACCCATCCGGAACGGATACGAATGGCGCTCAAGACACTGATCACGGGGCCGATTCCAGTGACGGCGGACTCGGCCCGTCAGATGAGCAAGTCCGTGCATCTATGATTCATCTGTTGAATCCTGTGCTGGGAAGCGCTTTCGGGGTATTTGTTTCTATATATCTTTGTTATTTTGACGGGTATGCTCTCCAAATCATTAATTACCTTCATATGAAAAATACAGCAGGTAAAGCCAACTGAACATCAACGAAGGTAGATTTCCCTTGCCGGGTGCTCCCAGATCAGGCCCAGAGGTAGCTCCAGCCCCAATGCGTTTGTATTCTAGGCGAACGTACTTGTTCAGAGTGAACCGGTTGGCTCAAATCACTGCTTCAGGAAGTCTGGGACTAAACTTCTGAATGTTAATGAACACCTATTGAAGAGCTGCTTGTAGACGGCTTAAATCACTCACACATCCATAATTTTGTAATTAGGTGGCATTTTCGTCATTAAGGCCTTCATTCCGTTCTACCTGATTTTACGCTCAATGTCAATGCGTCTGAGTAAGTAAGTGGTTTGAAATCCATGGTGAAAGTGGGCGCCTCAAGTACTACTCTGCTTTTTTTCGTCTCACTGCTCGCGTGATTCAGCATACGGCGTTATTTTGGATTAGCGAGGTCTAAAAAAACTAAACGGGAATGTGGGATCACCCTAGAGCGGAGTGGATGCCATCATCCTTGACCCGCGAACAAATGAATGCCAGACCTTGGACGTCTTTCCGAGCATCCCGAGGTGAATGATCTTTTTTTCTTGCGAATATAGGGAACAATGTTGCGAGGAGAATACCTTAGTGTGCTGCAGGATTCCCTTTGGTGTGCTCAGGGGAGTGGTCATATCCAGAGACGGTCAAAGTAACTGATTCCCCAGTAAAAACTCTACGACCGTACAAGTGACGATTTTCATGCTTTTTCGTCCTGCAGCTTCGTTTTTCACTGAAAGGCGGGCCTTGAAGGCGGAGTCTGGAGGCGGAGTCACTGGAAAAAAGGAGGCGTCACTGAACCTATATTGCGTTATAGCGCCCTTGCCTTGCAATTTTTTGCCGCGAAACCGGTACAAGGCTGTTCCTCGCGGACTACATTCTCGATGCCATATTTTCAACTTCCATACGTGATCGCGGATCGTGCCTTTAAGATGGTCCCGGGTACTTGATTGTTGTTAAGGCCCACTACATTTCCCTGCTTTTATTTACTTTTGCATGCTGATATTTGAAGCCTCGCAAAGATATACCTGCTCGCTTTCATGAGCGGAGTCTCTTCTACCTTCCGCCTTTATCTGCCAATCCTCTTCAATGTAATCCTAAGCAGAAACCCATCATTAAATAAGGAGTAGTTGCTGATATCGTCGCAGTCCGTCGGGGCGATGTCAGAAGGAGGGGCGAAGTGAGCCCACTCGCGGCTGCGTATTCTCTGACTGCTTCAGCTGGAAAACAACCAGTGGCAAGAAATGCCACGGACGAGCTCGCTCACGCCTCCCGACATCATCCGTGGAATCGCGACGATCGATGTCAATTGCAGGCTCGGCTCCATGCGATCAGCGGAGTGTGCCTTTAAGTCTCATACGATAGCTGATGAAGGCACACCTCACAGAAAAGCGTGGAGTCAAGGGTTGTTGCAGGGAAAAAGACAGTGCGAACCTCGACAAAGTGCTATATTCAGTAATCGCTTTGGCTCACTTCCTCTTCAGAAACTCAGAAGTCATTGGTCACAACACTCAAAAAAATTGTTGATAATGAAATGGCCCAAGTTATTCGACTGCTACTGCAAAAATCCAGCTACCTCATTCGAAGGCATTTTCCACGCTGGTGGTATGGGCGGAGTCACTCAGACCATTGCGGTATTGTCATTGGTGCTCCACATTGTTCAGAGTTGGGATCCAACCAATGAGAAAGGCGCAGTGTGCCTATTACCTGCGTCCATATGATCACCGTGGGAAGTGCCTTCGCGATTTCTTTTCTGAAACTATTTTAAGTATTTTTTATTTGTGATATTTCAGAGTTCACTCATCGAAGAAGGAGGTAACACCAAACGTAAAGGCGATGAAAGCGGTAGTGGTGGAGCATCGAAAAAACATCGTTGGATGACCGTCGACGAATTGGAAGAAAGTCGTTTTGGGAGAAGCAAAAGCTACGGACGTGTTCACTGTAAAGCTACCTATAAATGCGCTGTGAGTTTTATGAAAAATAACGAATTTCACTGCAAATTTCGATTTCTTGGGTGTTCAGTTTCTTGTCACGCATCGTAGCTATTTCTGCATCCGCTATCGTTCCTGCAATAAAGCTTCGGCTTTAGGTGGTTGGGGGGGGTGTTATGAAATAGTTTGTTCCAAGCACTGTGCAG